TTCTCTTTTAAAGGCCAACATTCAATGTCATAGGGCATTACAGATCTCACCACTGTCTTATAAAATTTTCCTTTCAGTTTAAGCGGTACTTTTCTATCACATAAAAGTATGTTTTAATTAAAATTTGAATTCCTTCAAAAAGTATATGTTTATATTTTTCAGGGTTCTTAATCTTTTCTAAATCCTATCGCTTTTTTTGTTGATTATATAGAGCTATTTGTGTACTTCCTTCAGCATTTAGTATATCAATGGGATGTTCTCCATGACAATTACTATAATGTATACTTCTTTTCCAAAGGAAAATAGGCATATCAAAACAGTCTTTAGTTCCTAAAGATAATTTTCGTTTTCGTATCTTATTGTAAGCTTCTTCGGATAATGTAATGTCTTTCATATTCAATAGAATTGTCATTAATTATATATGATTTAATGTTTTTTTCTCTATTAATAAAAATATAGATATTTTTCTATTTCATTATCAAAATAGCTTATATTTATTAAGTTTTCTTCAGTATTTGATAGTTCATAAAGATCTTCTTCGCTATCTATGTCAGAAAAATTGAAAATTGGCTCTAACTCATTTTCATTTATAATTGTTACAGATTTTACATGACTTATTTTATTCTTTTGGGGATATGTATTTGCATAATGTCCTGCCTATTTACAACTCAAACATTTGTTAATTCTAATTTTGTTAGTATTTGAATTATTGTTGTTCCTTTTATTTCTTATTTTTTTTTCCTATAAATTCTTATATTAGGATTAAATTTTCTTTTATATATTTTCTTGAAGAATATTTTCTTTTTATTTTGTGGAGAGCAATTACAACTATTATGAGAAAAGGAGCAAAACATAAAGATTGTTTATTTTGTTTATGTAAGTCAAGATGCTAACAGGCTTCAACTAATTTTTGCTTATTGAACTTAACATCAAATCATATTTTTGCTTACTTTTTATGTATTTTAGATCATCAACATCATCGTTAATTAATATCACATACAAAATTGTACAAACCAAAAACCTTGGGCAGGGTCTACCTTGATTACATGGATGATGAGGAAAGGAGCCCCAGATCTTCCTTCCAATTCAAATCACTGCACTCTCTCGATTGCCCTTGCATGCAACATCTCTTGCTCATGCTCGGGTCATTGTCTCTCATGTGCTTAACCCAAATCTTCGCGTTTGATTGCTCCTCTCCTTTCTCACCCTAGTGTCTTGTTTATAATTGTCTCTATTGTCCATCCATCAATTGAAAATTACCTACACCCACGCATATATGTATATATATATATATATACACAGAGAGAGAGAGAGAGAGAGAGAGAGTATGCTTAATTTATTTCCTCGATTTTTGCAGGAGGAAAACGCCAAGCCAAGACTAGCAGGAACAAGGCTCGCTGCTTCTTATATCAACTTCTACATTGCAAATGGAGGAATAATTGCGCCAGCATTTGATGATGAGAAGTGGGATAAAGAAGCTTTTCATGTGCTTTCATCAGCATTTCCAGATCATAAGGTGCGCCGACACTAACATTTTTTCATTGCATTTTTTTTTTTAACTTCTTCCTATCTCTTTTTGCCTGCGGTGATTGTTTTGTGGATGCCAAATTTAAGCCCAATTAAATTTTAGATGTTGTTTTTTAAAATAAACTTTATTAAATTGTAATCACATGGGCTATTTATTATATAAATTTGGGTGTTGGGTGATAAAAAGAAGTTATTAGAGAAAAGTGTCAAAATAGTCTCTTGGCTCTTTGCAAGGGGTCATTTAGCCATAAGACTATTAAAGTGTCAATTTACACATACTCATTTAATAGTGTTGACCATTCTTGGCCCCATTAAAATAGTCTAGGGACTAATTTGGCACTTTTATAGAGTCTGGGACTAAAATGATCCAACCCCATGTAAATAATCAAGGGGTTATTTAGGCATTTTACGCAAAGTAATCAAAAGGATTAGAAAGAACATATGGCTAAATCCAAGGTAAAGAGGTGTGGCAAGATTTGCAAAAACTAATCTAGGATCAATGCAACATTATATACTGGAATGAATAACAAATGAGGATTTATAAAAAGCTAAAACCTTCGAATAGTTGAGATAATGTAATTGTGGTGGTGGGAATTGTGATAAAGACAAGTCTTCGAATTTCTGCAAAACAAGATGGTACATGAAATTTTCATTGTTTTTATTCTACAAAAGGTTTCATGGCCAAAAAAGGGATTTAAAATCAAATACAAAAGGCTTAGGATTTATTTGGGATCACTTTTATTTTTTTGGTTTTTTTAAACATATTTGGGATTAATTTATCCTTTTTTTTTTGTTTAGTTTAATCACTAGTGTTGTTTTGGAGTGAAGTTGAGTCCTGTGAATGTTGTTACCAGGTAGTAATGATCCAAGGTGCAAGGGAGATCTGTCTTGGGGGAGGGAACATACATTGTATCACTCAACAACAGCCAGCAATTCCACAAAGGAACAGTAAGTAGGATGTCGTGCAACTTATTCTGAATAATCTTTTGGCTCATTCTCTTCTGTCTAGTTCTTGCTCTGGGATGTTTCATGTATAATTACTCATGTATTTTTAGATTGAAATGAACAAAGCAGCAATATAACTAGAACAGTAGAAATTCTGGATGAAAATGGACTGCTTCTGAATCTGTAATCTGTTAAATGTTTTCATTAATATTTAATCAGTTTATTAGTTTAATGGCTTCTTGGGTATTAATTTTATTATTATTTTTAATTTTTTTAAAAAAAAGTTTTTTGTTTGGTAGATTTTTATACTTTATATTTTTTTTAGTTTGTAAAAATAAATCAACTTTTTCTAAAAAAAAATTGACAAAACAAATTGGGTGTTATGGCAAGAATCAAATAATTTTAAAAACAAATTAGGTGTTTTGATATATTCTTCTCTAACATTGGTTGAATCTTTTAATTTTTTTTAATATATTCCTTTTATCAATCAACAAATGCATCAGTTTTGATGTGCTCGATCTGCTTCTAGTAATCAATCGTAGAAGAAAATATGGATCCTTTTTTATAAAACACCAACTTCATGGACTATAAGTTAGCAATAGTTGGAGGATTGAGAGTTCATTTCATTTTCAACTAATTGCCATTGTTTGATTAGAGCACCGATAACCACTTTTGGAAAACTAGAATCGTAAATAATATAGTATAACATTATACTATATTTAAAATTCAATTTTCTAATTTATTTTAAATGTATTTAAAAATTGAGATTTGAGCTTACATCAGTGTAAAATGTTCTCTTTTAACTGTTGACCTGCTCCTTAGAGTCGATGATTAGGTTTCGGATTTTCTCATTCCGATTTCGTTGATAGCTACCACAAATAGAGGGAATGCACCATCTTACAGGGATGCGGTTTATGGTAATATCTCGGATTTATCTGATATACTCTTTCCAATTTCCTTTAAGCATAGGCTGGAAGAAGGTGATCCCGATGAGCTTTTCAAGAAAGCCTCAAGGAAAAATGATAGGTCTGCTATTGTTTTTCATTCAAAGGAAACTAATCTTCTTATGGAGCCATGGAAGTTTACCCTAATTGGTAAGTTTGTTATGGCTCATCCGAAGGTTGATATTATTCATAATTTATTTTCTAACCTAAATTTGAGAGGTAAATGGAGCTTGGGATTAATTAAAGGATGCAATATGATGATCAAGTTACAAGAAGAAGTTGATTACACTTCCTTATTTGCCAGAAAAAATTTTATTATTGACAGATGCTATATGAAGATATTCAAATGGACTACTAATTTAAATCCATCTGAGGAATCTCCTATTATTCCTATATGGATTAGGTTTTCAGGTCTCAAGCTTCACTTGTTTCATCCGCAAGTCTTATTTTCGATCGGCTCAATTTTTTGTCATCCTTTGAAGATGGATAGTGCGACTATACATTGCACGTGTCCTTCTATGACAAGAATTTTGGTAGAAAGAGATGTTACAGCTCCATTTCCGAACTCTATCTGGATTGGCGATGAAAACACGGGATATTAGCGATCTGCATAATTGGAATTTGTTCCTCCTTATTGCTCTAAATGTAAAATGTTTGGTCACATGATATCATCATGTTATATTGCGCATCCTGATTTAAAACCTGCTACTTATAGAGCTTATATAAACAAGAAGCATAAAGAAGTTCTCAAGGAAGCTCAAGTCAGTTTTAGAGGTAATAGAAATATAGAGAAAAACTTTGAGAGGAGGCCTGAAATAAAGGATATACATAAGCATAAAGAAGTTCTTGAGGAAGATCAAGCTAATAATGGTGACAATGTAAATGTTGTGCTAAATTTTGGGAGAGAGGAAGATATTCTTCATGGTGAAGAAAAGGCTGATAAATTACATATTATTATTCATATATCCCAGAAAGAACTTGATCTAAATGAGCCGGACTTGATTAATGGGCTTAATCTAGAGGTAAATCCTTCTAATCCTTTGATTCGTGATCTTTTTACTAATAACGATTTGAATCTTGTGTCCAATTCCATAAGCTGTGACCAAGAACCTTTAGTCTTAACGAGGAAGGAATTGGAAGAAGATTGGTTAATTCAAAGATCGTCAAGGAAAAGGAAATTAAAGGGAGTAAGAGAACTTGGTTTTATTAATCAAGAAGCTCTTAATTTCTTGAAATCTGGTAAATATAAAGAGGGCACTTATTCTTCATCTAGATGCACTAGAGGAAAATCCAATTATGATGATGGTTAATACTCTAATTTGGAATATCAGAGGCATTGCTAAATCCAGTGCCTCTTATAGGTTAAAGAGATTGATACGTATTTATAAGCTTCATTTATTTGGCATTCTGAAACCTTGCAGTCAAGAATAATGAAAAATTCATGAGACGGTTTGGTTTTTTTTTGCTTATGCCAATACGAGCAATAAGATTTTTTTTGGAAGGATTTCATAAAGATTGATATTCTTATCAATCATGACCAATTATTACATATCTGTATTCATCGGGATAATGATTCTTTTCTATTTTTTATTATATATGCGGGTTGTTCTAAACAGTCTCATTTAGAATTATGGAAAATCTTATTTGATATCAATTCTAATTCTGAACATTGGCTTTTGGGAGGGGACTTCAATCTGATTTCTTCTATTCAAGAGAAAAAAAGAGGAATTGCGCCTAATCTTAATATTATATCCTTTTTTAATAATGCTATTATTGATGTTGGTTTGTTTGATTTGGGATTCAAGGGTATTCCTTATACTTGGCACCGTGGAAATACTTTTGAACGTCTTTGATAGATTCCTTGCTAATGTTGTATGGGCTAGCAAGGTCGTCTGCTATGAGGTTACTCATTTAGCTATTGTTGCCTCTGATCATGCTCCTATCATTCTGAAGACTAAGAATGCTAACTATAAGATTTCTTATCAGTTTCGTTTTTATAACATGTGGATGCTTCATAGCAACTTTTCTGATTTTCTTAAAGATTGTTGGAAGACCTCTGTTGTTGGTACTTACGGGTATAAGCTGTGAATTTGCAAAAGCATTTACCAAAAAGGCTTAGAAAATGGAACTGGGAGGTTTTTGGAAATATTCATCTTGCTATTGAAAATATGGAAGACAATGTTAAGGCTTTGGAATTGGATTTAACCAATCAAATGATTGATTGGGAAGTCCTTTTTCAAGGTCAACAGGAGTTGAATAATGCTATTTTGAAGGAGGAATGTTTCTTAGCTCAGAAAGCCAACAAGATTCAATTCTTGGAAAGGGATAGAAATTCTGCTTACTTTCATGCTTGTATTAAGAATAGGAGACGTCACAATAATATTAGTATGATTAATTGCGGTAATGGTATTATCTTAACTAAATAGGAGGATATTTCCAAGGATGGTATTACTTATTTTTCTAATATCTTTTCTTCTGATGGAGGTCCTTTACAAGCTATTAATTATGCCTTATATAGTCCTTTGTTGGATGATTCGGGCAGAGTCTTACTTGTATTCCCAGCACCCTGGAAATTAGGAATATTGTGGAGTCTTTGGAGGATAGGAAGGCTGCAGGTCCTTAAGGTTTCACTGTTGAATTCTATGAGAAAAACTGGGAGATTATTCATCTTGAATTGGTTAATACAATTCAGGATTTTTTTTGTGGGGTGGATTTACCTCAATATTTTAAGTCTTCTAATATTGTTCTTATTCCCCAAGATAATGTTGCTTCATCTTGGGATAAATTTAGACCTATCAGTATTAATACTGTAGTGTCAAAGATAATTTCTAAAATTATTGTTAACAGACTTCATCTTTTCCTTCATAATATCATTTCCAATAATCAATCTGCTTTCGTCAAAGGGAGGAATATTTGTGATAATGCATTGACTATTTAGGAACTTCTTATGGATTTTGATTTGAAGAATAGAGATGACAATGTGATTTTCAAGCTTGAAATTTAAAAAGCCTTTGATACCATTCGTGGAGAGTTTATTTTGGATGTTTTGAAAGCTATTGGTTTTCCTCAGCATTTCTGCTACCTTATTCATAGAATTTTAAATAATAATTACTATTATATTTTTATTAATTGTCAAAAGTATGGTTTCTTTAAAGTTACCAAAGGAATCAACAAGGAGATCTGCTTTCTCCTTATTTGTTTATTATAGTTTTTGATTATATATCCAAATGCGTTAATCATGGTTATGCCACTTACCCTACTTTAAACTATATTCACAAAGGAAAAAATTAGAATATCTCATCTTTGCTTTGCTGATGATCTTATTATTTTTACTAATGCTCACAAATGTTCTATCAAACGAGTTTGGGGGATTCTTCAACATTTCCAGGATGTTTCTGGGCTTAATTTCAATACTTCTAAATGCTATTATTATTGTTCTAAAAGGGTTTCTTCTAACACTAAGAACTGGATTTCTAATGTTGCAGATTGTAAAAAAGCCACACTTCATATACCTTATTTGGGTTTCAAACTGAATAAATGTTACAGAAGATTTGCTTCTTGTCTGCATATGGTAGATAAAATTAAATAGAGACTAAAATTAAACAGAGACTATCTTCTTGGGAGAATAAATTTCTCTCGTATGGAGGTAGAATTACTATTCTTAAAAGTATTTTTTGCTCCTTGCCTCTTTATTATTTACAGGTTATGAATATTTCTAAGGGGATTATTAAGAAGCTTGAAGCGTTGTTTAATAAATTCCTTTGGGATGGTTTGGGAAAGAAGAATATTCATTGGAGGAGTGAATATTCATTGGAGGAGTTGGCAGAAGTTATGTAAGCTATTTGTGTAAGCCGTTTGATATGAGTGGTCTGGGTTTTAAAAGTATTCAGGACTCTGTTAAAATCAACTAAATGAGGTTATGATATCGGTTTAGATTGAACAATTCCTTATTGGCTTTTTTTAATGAAGGCTAAGTATTGTGGGGAAAAACATCATTTATCCATCTCTTCCTTAAAAAGAGATTCATTCATCTGGACAGAAATACTAAGCTCACGGAAACTTTCTTTTGTTGGGATTTGGGTGATGGATGGTGCTCATTTTGGTTTGATAACTGGTTGGGGCAAGGGGCTCTGGTTGATCATTATGGAGGACCTTATGATATACATATTAATGTAAATCAATTCTGGTGCAGGGAAAGCTGGATGATGGAGAAACTTTTGAGTAATGTTAATTTACAAGATGCTAAATTCATTGATTCGATACCTATAACTAGATATAAGAAGGATACTTTGATTATTAAAAAAAGAGGGGAATATTCTATATCGAAGTGCTTTGCTCAGTCTATCTCGGTTTCTCATGGCTTACAGTTGAAATGGATTTGAAATCGGTGATTAAAACCATCCATGTCTTTCTTTATATTGAGGGTTTTGCATAATTTGATTCCTTCTGATGACATTCTTAAAATGAAAGGATTAAGAATGTCATCACGTTGTGTTCTTTATAAAGATAAAGAGGAATCCATTACTCATCTTTTTGGAGATTGTCGTTTCATTACTAATATATGGGATATTATGACTAAACAGCTGATTAATGTTGATATGGATCACACCTTCTCTTCTTTTACTGATTTGTTTCAGCGATGGAAGTAATTGGGCAAAGATTTTTATAGCACTATTCCTTGTGTTGTTATGTAGTTTGTTTGGCTTACTAGAAATAATGCTTTGTTTAATGATAAGATTCTTGATGTTCAGCATACTATGAGTATCATTTTATGTTATTTGTGCAAGAGTCAAACTTCCTTACAGTTTAAAGATAGAGGTTGGACTTTGCTGAAGGAAAATTATAAGGAGTTGGTTTTGCTTAATAGGACTGTTAGGATTTCTGTTAAGATTACTTGGTGTAAACCTTTGGTTCCTTATTTTAAAATTAACACTGATGGCTGTTAGAAGTTGGATGCTGCGAGTATGAGAGTAGTTTGTAGAGATTTTAATAGTTCCTTAATTTGTTGATTTTATGCTTTAACAATCCCTATTTCTGCACTTACGGCAAAAGCTAATGCTGTGGTTTTTGGCTTAATGGTTGCAAAAAAATTAAGAATTTATAATATTATTATGGAAATGGATTCTCTGATCCTTTGGGAGTGTTGCAGTTGGAATAGAGATGTGCATTGGAATATTTTGTTGCATATGAAGTGAATTAAAGCCTTAACTGAAAATTTGAATGTTCTTTGGACACATGTTCGTAAAGATGGTAATTCAGTGGCTCATTGGCCTGTGAAGACTGGTTATAATCTTTCTAAAGCTTCTGTTTTCTTTAATTTTCCTGACGTTTTGTTGGCTTTAGCCAATAGGGATCTATCTTGATTGTTTTTTGTGGTGTGAATTGTATTATATATATATAGTTGGGGTTCCTTATCCCTCTTTCTTTGTATTTTTTTCTTGTGGCAATAAAATTCCTTGGGGAAGACCCCCACTTTGGGTAAAAAAAAAAAAAACTTGAAAAAAAAAAAAATTTAGCAAGTAGCTAGCCAAAACATGGGCTGTGATTCATGTATAGCAGCAGCGCGGGTAATTTTTTGCCTGGTTTCTCCAAATCAAAATACAAATAAATTTTAGGGGCATTTACATAAATACCACACAATTCTTATATATTTACATATCTAACGCCTAAACTTTCATATTCATATATAAACACTCAAAAATCTTTTAACACCATATTAAAAACATCACAACTTTATGGCATCAACATGTTAATAAGGCAAATATTGAATATGACAAATACATAAGAATTGTATGGTATGCATGTAAATTTCCCTAAATTATAATTTCCATGTCCAAGTTTTTCAAACAAAACATGGAACGCTAATAGTTATTATATATATATATATATATATATATATCTTCATCACATAGATAACTCGCTTGCTCACTCATTGCAGTTCATTATTGTACAATTCTGACGATCGGTGATACCGTATAAGCTAATGGCAGCAATTATCATCAATGGAAAACAAGGCCAGTAGCACTATAGTAACACTATGGATCAGAGTCGGGACCAGCAGGCTTATATGTACACTATAAATACAAGAGAGAGATTAGTCAACCTCAGCCACCTAACTGACCTACCCAACTGTACTGCACCTCTCACATACCTCCAACAAGTCTGCTATCATCTATGCCTACGCCTCCACAAAGCACTCCATATTTTAGCAAGAATTGGTATAATACGTTAGAGCCTTGCGTTGGCAGCAATTTGCTTTCCATTAATTTAGAACTTTAGTTAAATAATGTATTAGTTGAAAGTTTGAAATGAATGTTGAGTTGACCAACAAAATCTAGTCAAATTTCGATCAAATCAAGAGATTTTGGGAACTCCACATATATATCTAAATCAATTTTACAGTTCATGATTAATGATAGTTTGTGTTAGAGAAATTTATTTTTATAGCATAAGAGAAGGCTTCTATTTGCTCGGATAATGTGTATGTCCTCTTTAAATATTTTAATAGATTTTGTAATAATCAAATCTTATGAAACTTGCTACATATTTCATTAAATCATTAAATAATTCAAGATCTTTTAAGAACAGTTATTAAAGCATGAATTAGATATAATCATATGAAACATTAATTTCAAAATCTTATTAAATTGGTCTTTGTGATGACTTATAATTTGATATATAATGTCTTAAGTGTGTGATATATTTAGATTAATCTCTTATATATAGGATTTGTGGAGCGCCATACGTTAAGGCAAGAAAATGTGTGTAATGATTAATATGTTGTTAGTATAATGCTCTTTAGCGAGTAAATGATGAATGCGCATTTTGTTATTAGGGGCATACCCCTTATTATGTTTTACTTGTTATGGTTAGATCGAGGAATGTAATGCTTGGCTCAGTCTTATTTTGTAGTCGTAGTTATTCTCATATATTATGTTGATGTTATAGTTGCACTATTTAGTACATATGTACACGTAATGTATGTTCTTTTTCAAATATATGCTTGATATATAAATAACAATGGTCGTGTAGTTAATTATTCGTGTGTGTGGAATGTACGTATTTAGTATAATAAAATGTAGATAGTATCAAGCCACTATGAATTTTTTATAATATTTTACTACTTAATAATTTTTATGATGATGTGTGATGCTTTGAATGTTGGCTAACTAGGTCGCCATGCCCGTAGAATACAATTAAAAAAAAAAAAAACTATTAGATCTATTTGAAAATTATGCAAATCAACTATAAATGTATATATGTATCTAAAAAAAATAGATTAACTTATGGATAAATAGTTATTTATGGAACATAAACATGACATGCATGTGTGTGAGTGTAAATTTATACTTCTAGACATGTAGATCATTTATTTAGTTTTTATAAACTAATGTTATATATTGAGCATCTTATCATTTTGTATATTATTTGGAACTCTTTTAGCATTATAATAATTCTTTTTTTATCTCTTTTTTTGCCCGTATTCATGCTTTTAGCCTAGTTATTCATGCTTTACTTGGTGTTGAATTTATATCTGTAGTATGAATCACACGTAAGGAATATAAGGTAAAATGAGAGAAAGAAAGTGAAGAAAATTGACGGAGAGAGAGAGAGAGAGTGTGTGTGTGTGTGCACAATTAAGAGCCGACACATTAAATAATGACTAATTAACCCTCTACTGTAAAAATGACCCTTATATTAATAGACAAAGGAGGTATAAAATGAAATTACATATTACCCATGCTTTTATGGGATCATTAAAAGACATTTTAGGTATAAAAAAAAAGCGAGGCTATGACTTGGCTACCCTATCACTCAGCTGGTTGATATCAGTAATCCTCGGGTCGCTAAGGCCCGTTCGATCAACTTTGTTAAGTTGGGGCTGTCAGTCAGCTCTGGTGGTCATTCAATCATTTGAACTTCGCTCGATCAGCTTCAGTCAACCGATTGACTGCTGATTGTTGACTCCTGAATTAGAAGCTCGTGCTGCTTGGAAGAAACTAATGAGATAAATAATGAATCACTGTAATCTGATAGATAGTCTATTGTGTTGGCAAACAAATCCATTTTGAGGGTTTGAAAGATATTTGCTGATGAGAACCTTAGGCCTTCTGAAGAGTCTTAGAAACCTGTGTTCGACAACTAGAAATATTTGGACGAGAGTTGAATTGATTCATCCCCTTGGTTAGGTGAGTCTTGTTCTTTGACTTTGGTGGCATTTGTTCGGTCATCTCCGAGTCTTTCTCCAAAGGAGTTTTAGTTGGTTAACTAAACCCATTGGTCTTATGCTAATGTGGTTCTTGATCTCCTTTTTGGTGGGCCATCGTTGACCATTTTTTATTTTTTATATCATTAAGATTTCCCGAGAGTCATGCTGACACATTTATGACAATTAAGTACTTTAATAACCAAACTCCCTGGATTTCCAGCCTTTGACACTGTAATTAGAGCTTGATTAGCACTTTTGTTATCTTCACTATTTTGAGAGCACATTGCCCAGCCTGTTGATTCAAGGAGAGTATAAATATATATATATATATATATATTTTTATAGTTGTGTGTTGCATTAAAAGTAGAAAAAGACAATCATAAGGAAGAATTGTTCCATAATAAAATAAGAAAATCTGAAGATAAGAAGTTACTAATCTTTCAAAATTAGTTGCTATGAAAAATAATTTCTAAATGGACAATAGAGGCAGACCTAATATAGGCTAAGATGGTTAATTCCATTAAAAAAATTTTGTAAAGGTTCTAAAAGAATCTAAAAATAAATCATACATAAGCAAGAAAACCTGGGGGGAATGAGAGTTAAAAGATATCAAGAAAAAAAATATATTTTAAATAGTGAAAAAAAAATTACTGAGATTTATAGTGATCATGATAAATCTAAAAGGCTTGGAAATAGGGAAATGACAATAAACAAAATATCTAAGGTAAAAGATCCAGAGACTTTGATCAAAGTTGAAATCGCCACTCTGATAATTTACAATATAAGGATTTTAAATAAATTACTCTAGATGTTATAATGAAAAAAATAATGATACATATTCAATATAAGGATTTTAAATAAATTACTAGATGTTATAATGAAAAAAATAATGATACATATTTTAATATATTTATTCGAGATAAAGTGAGGTGAAGATGACTCTAAAAAAGATGCAAGAAGTTGAAACTTTCGCCACAAAAAATATCTATTAAAATTTGCAAAGTTGAGGGATACTGTAGTTGGTTGGTTAACAAATTATTTTAATGAAATTTTGAAAAGTATGAGGATGTCAAAATAAAAAAATCGAATACCTTCTCAATATTATTTCAAAATAAACACAATGAAATTATACAAGAGCTTTTTGGAATATAAGCTTCAGGAAATTATATCAATTTAATTTCACACAATGAAAATAAGGAAGTGGATTTTTATGTAAAAACAAATACTAAAAAGTATAGGGAGCATAAGAAAGGTCCTTGTATAATATTTATGATCATGACAAAATATAGAATCGAGCAACTTGAGAAACCTTAACAAAGAAATGTGTTAAATGTAGGCTAAAGTTATTTGGAGTTTGTATGATGTAACATTAGCTATTATTTGGAGAGGAGTGACCGCAATGAATTTTTATTGACAATACCATTACATCAAGGATCATGATTGAGTCCATACTTCTTGTAATAGTTGTGAAGATTTTCATAGAAGATATTCAAAGTGAAGTTCTAGGTATATGCATTTCATAAATACCAATTTTTTCATTGGCATGTGATAAAATAAGTAGAAAATTAGAATAGCATATATATATATCTATACAATATGAAACTTAGTACTAGTAGAAAAGAGATTTAGCATTAAATAAACAATGGCATCGAGTGAGATGATAATAATTATCAATAAAAATAAGTAATAAAACAAGCGGTACCAAAATACATAGATTTAAGTAACTTCAATGTATTATATCAAAAGAAAAATAATATATGTAAGGACAACCACAATAAGGCTAGGTCACTAAAATAGAGAAATAATATAAAATTTTTATATGACAAAAAAATATTATGAATACTTAAAATGTAAATTTTATAAAATTGCATTTAATAAAATTCATTTCTATCTATAAAAGTGTTTAACTATAAAAAAGTGAATAATAGCTAACATGATCATAACTATACGAAAGGCATAATTGAAGATAGCACAATTAAAAATAGACCAAGTAATTTAGCCCATATACAACAATGAGTAGAATTTGCACCTATTAAATAGATAAATCATATTATAGTCAAAATGTTAAAAATAAAAAATATTGGACTTTAATGTCGCGCACCGCCATCTCAACAAAGGATGAGCCACATCCCTTTAGCCATGGAAAAGAAGATTCTAGAAAAAATTAGAAAGAAAAAGAATAATCTAAGGAATTCTAGAATGTCTCAAATCATTATATAAATATGTTGAATGAGACAAACTTCAAGAGAACTCTAGAATATTCTTGAAAGCTCTAGAATCATGTATATGTAAAGAATAATGTAAAACCATCAAGAAGATAACCTATTTTAATGTAATTTAGAATAATCTTTAGGACTTGAATGAGGACTACAAATAGATGTCCCTCCCCCTCACTTGTAATCAACCAATGTTTCCAAAAAAACCAAGTGTGTAATCACTCATTTCTTAGTGAATTGTTCATTTCTCACAAAAATCTCTCATTTCTTAGAGAGTTTTTATTTCCAAATTCAAGCGTTGCAAGGGTTAGGTTGACTTAGCACTTACGAAGAGTGTTAAAGTCACACGGGTGACTTAAGAGAAATTTGTCAGTGATAGTTTGTATCAAGAGCCAAGGTTAAAGGCATGACAAATAGAGTCAAACAGCATGACATGGAGTCTGAGGCCACAAATGTGGAGTCAACTCAATAAGGATGACATCGTGCGGAGCAACGGGATCCTACTTCATCCAAACCACACGGAATCTCTAAGGAACTCATATATGGCTTTGATTCGTGACTTGCTCGGGTGGGGGAGGAGGCTATGAATGGCATGGAGGCACGGCTACACGATACAGGATCCAAGCTAAAAGATGGATGGTCTTGAGGAGGAGGACATCTTCATCCATTCC